CTCTCTCTCTCACCTCTCCTTTGCTGTTGAAGCCAAGGATCTCAAAGCTGATACTCGACGTTCTTCCAGACTGGATTTCGTGGAGATGCCGGAAGAGGTTGAGGCGCGCTCTCCCCCGCCCGTTGTCCAGCTCTCCTTGCGTCAGGACGCCCAGAAGCGTTGACTTCCCTGAGTCCACATTCCCCAGCACAGCCACTCGCAGGTCTAAGAACTAAGGAAGAAGGATAAAAAAAATCAGGAAACTTAGCCACTGCAGTGCTGGCTGTCGCACCCAAGCTGCACGGTAGCAGATGGGTCCCAGGGCCTTTCCCTCTACGATGGGCACTGTACAACATAATCATCTTCATCAAATCCTGCTCCTTCCCTCAGCAAATCACAGCCCAGGAGTTGCAAAACAAGGTCATTTGTTGCAGCAGGAGGAACTGCAAATCCTTCCTTGCTTCTGTGCTTGGCTGCATCACAGCCAGTGCTTCAGAAGTGAGATAATTTCTCACCTCTGGTGCAGGCAACCTCCCCTCCTGGAATCTGCTGCAACCGCAATCCCGGAGATGAAAAGCGTTGTTCTCAGGCCTCCCTGTGGCTGCTCTTTAGAGAGCATGTAATGGGTCAATCTAGGGCAAAGCACCTCTAGGGTTTGGGCTCTTGTCCCAAAAGGAAGCTGCTTGAATGAAGCCTCAAGCCTGGAAGTCACCAAAAGGAGAGGACGGCCAAGTTGCAGGTTCCTACCTGCTGGTTGTCAGGCACCTTTCGGACAAGGACTTCTGTTATCTTCCTGGGAACGTCGCTGTCGTAGTCAACCTCCCTCTCCCGGAGTACCGTGATGTCTGCCCCAACTCTGCCATGGACCCAAAAGAAAGAGCGAGAAACACGTCTGTGCTCAGCTGCCCCAGCACCTCTAGAGTCAGACCTGGCAAAGAGAAGGGCCCAAACACTGGGAGCAGCAGGACAAAAGCCTCGAGCTTCCAGCGAAGCTGCTCTCCTATTCCCAGAGCCTTGTGCTATGGGAACTTGAGGCACAGAGAGGCTTTGTGCAACGGAGCTGTGAGCCCAGGCCCGTTTTGGGGCAGAGCCTCGGGGGTTGCGCTCACTGCCTGCGGGGACACCTACTTCTCGGCCATGCGGCGCAGCGTCTTGAGCGAGGCGCGCATCTCCTCCTCCGAGAGGCCCACGAGCAGCCCGTTGTCCTCCACGCCGATCTGATAGACGGCCTCACCGCGGCCCTCCTGCAGTCGCCACTTCATCTGCGTCACGAGGTGCTCGAAGCGGTACTGCGAGGGATTCACGAGCTTCAGCTGCCCAACAGAGCGGGGAGTTGAGAGTCACAGCGCAGGTGCCCATGGAATCCCGCTGCCCAAGCAGCACCCCCCGGCCCACCCCGCGAGGCAGCATCTCCACCCTGGCCCACCTATGGGAAACACCCCACGACAGCAGGGTGGCAGATCTGTACCCTGCCTGCTCTGGGGGCACAGAGCGAGCACTACACCACCTTTTCGTGATGCAGGAACCAGGTAACTGTGAATGGCAGGAGAGCCACAAGCAAGTGGCTAAGGAATGGCAGGTATCTCCATCAAAGGAGGAAGGTCTCAGGAAAAAGCATAGTGGATCTCATCTCCTAAACCAGACTCTTAAAACTAGTGCCAATATCCAGCTGTTGCAGCTGAGCACGCTAGGTGCTGCTACACACAGAGATCCAGAAGTGGACTGGGTCCAACTCCCGAGTCCAGCGTTTGTTTCTCTGTCCCTTTCTTGAACGTGCTCCCCACATGCTGTCTTTCTTGAAGTTCTTCACTGCAAAATAGTCCTCTGGGGGGAAGAGGTCCCCTCTGCAGTGCTCAACAGGCTCACCTTGTACTCGATGTTCCCATCTTCTGCCTGGTTGGGGAATGAAATAAGATAGAAAGGTCAGACAGCGTGTCAGCAGGGACTTCCATAGGCACCAGCCACCCAGGCGCTCTGTAGCTCCTACCACCATCTTCAAAGAGAGGGAAAATTGCAGAAACCTACTGTGTTAGTCACAGCCTCGCCTGCCCTTCATTCATTAATTCCTACGCTGCACTGGAATTTACTCAGGGTCTGTTTCTGCTGTTTGCATCACACAAGTTGAAAACCAGAAGCTAAAATTAGAGTCATGCAGGAGGGAATGCCAAATGCCACGTTTTGTTGTTGTTGCTATTTTTTTTTTTCTTCCACCGACAGCAAAGGATGGGGCCAGTCTGAAAGTCAGAGAAACTTCCAGTTAAAAAAAAAAAAAAAAGAAAAGAAAGCACACAGGCCAACAGATGATCAAAAATCTCCACACATCCCACTCCATTCACAGCCCACACTGCCACCACACACTATCCAGCACCTTCTGTCCACCCAGCATGCATGGAAACAGCTGACGCGCGGCAAAAATCGCTGCCCCTTCTCCCACACACTGCTATGCTGCTCATCCATTTCTTTCATTGACTCCTTCCTATATCCACGCACATCTACTTTGCAGATAGAGAAAAAACTTCAGCCGTAAGGAAGCAAACTGCTGGCTTGTTTGTAGTGCAGCAACCTCCTCACTGTCCTGACACTCCTGGAGGTGCAGAACTGATCGGGAAAGGCTGTGGGCAACATCTGGGAGGGCTGTAGCCAGCCCAGACTCACAGCCCCAAACAGAAAGACCCGTTAACTCACCAAGCTCGCTCCTTCTGCCCTGGACACACATCTGCATGTCGAGAGCGGCAGCAGCCTTCTCCCTGCCTTCTAGCTCCGCGCTCAACCGCAGTGGAGCTTCTGGTGGCAAAACGCCATGGGAGGGAGGCTCTGTATTAACAGCTCTGCTCCTGGCCAGCAGCAGGGCGCTTGCAGCAGGTTTTCCTCAGTTATCACCTCCGTGCCGGGGAGCAAAACGGCATTCACCTGCCACGCTGCAGGCGATAAGGGGACAGTGGGTCTCTCTCAAGGCAGCTGGGACAAGCAAAGCAGAGAGCCAGGGCTCGCCGGGCCACACAGCGAGGAGCGGCCGAGGGCAGGAAGGCACCGGGAAA